TTGTACAATTTGAACATTTTTCCCATTTAAAGGTTTGCAATTTCAAAACCGTTTACCGAATCAAAACCTCAAAATTTAATGTACATTTAAGACAATTTAAGCAACTGTCTCTTTGCTAGCTTTTTCTGTGGCAAGGTTCAAGACAATATTTGACTTTCGAATTTAAATATTTCATTTTGCCTGAAGCAATTCAAGAATGTATTGATGTAATAAAAAATAAAATGTCAACATAATCTTGACAGTGAATGAGCAAAACTAATTCGTTATTCAACGAACAAACATGGCTAAACGAAAAAACATGAAACGGTTTACAAAAGTCGAAAGAAAAGTATTGCAAGATTTTCAAGCAAATAGCGAATCTCATCGAGTTTCGTCTTTTCGTTTCCATTAAACAATTGCAATGCTAAGCATCAAGCAAATCTTGCTCGACTTAACTATCGAATCAAAAGACTATTGTAGCCTGCATTTCATATTAAATGATAAAACTGCATTTCTTAATTAAACAGACAAAACTAATTCTCAAATTATTCAAAAGAGTTATGATTCTGTCTTTATGATCTTATTAACCCTGACAAGCTCATTATTTTGAATGTTTGTTAAATGAGAATGAAGCACATTTGTTCACCAGCTCTTAATCATGATCATTTTTCTGTTCGTCTTTTGCACAATGTCCATCAATATGAATAATCTATCGCCAACTCACCCTTTCCATGGTTACAAGCTTTCAGTTGTAATTGTAATTTGCTGATAGCAGACAAATGTTCACTCCATTTGATTGTGTTTACCTCAATGGGAAAATATCCTTTTACTATTTAGGGCAAGCAATAAGTTACAAGTAAATAAGGAAAGCCAATGAAATTAATGGAATTGAACAAAAAATCAAATATCAATTTACCATTGAAACTAGTGAATAACAAATTACTGGAAAAGTCAAAAATTGCATTTCAATCGTTCATCACGTTCCCATCAATATAAATTTTTAAGAAGCAAAATGATTCCCTTCGATGCACAAGAAAAGTGCGCAAAATGTTCAACCTCAAACAGAGCATTTCTTGATAAAAATTGTAATTGAAATGATAAATTTTTCAATCAAACGAAACAAAATTCACTCAAAGTATTTCAATATTTACTTTCTAACCAAGTTTAACCAACTCTTGAAATTGTCAAATTGAAATGTCCGTTTGAAACAGCAATTTTTTGCTCCAAAAACTCATTTTGCCCATTCAAATGCAACAATGAAACCAATTGACTTTTCAATTGATGACAAGAAATATTGGTAAAGTAATGAAAAGCTGACCAAAGAGTGAAAGTTGAACAGTAAACACACTTGACTAACTTGGCATGCATACAAGATCAACTTTGTGAGTAAAATTTTTGTCATTACTTTCGTTTAAACGTGAAATTATTTTATTAATAATAAAAGTTGACTTATTTCGTGTGTAAAAAGTTGATTATTTTGGTGGGTTGACTAAAGGGTAAGAAAGAAGCTCGAAAAGGTTCAATTGTTAAGGTTCATGGGTGAGTTGGTTTACTCTGCAAGTAAAAATAAGTTATCAGAGTATTTAGATAAAGAAGGTTGGAAGAAAAAAGAAAAGGTAAGAAAGAAATTTTTATCTTCTATTTATTCACTTCCCAGTTGGTTGGGAGTGATTTTTTGATAAGCAGATCAAGTCAGGGTTTCCATTGAAGAAGAGAAAAATTGAGTGAAGAAGAAGAAAAAATTCACCAACAATGATGAAAAATAATACATAAAGATGATGATAAGGGAAGAAAGGTAAAGATTGACTTTGCTTTAAAAACTTGTGGACATTGGTCAGCCAAGCGTGGCTCTTGGAAAAGATATTTTACTCAAGATAATGGCAGTTTCTTTGCATCTTATAATTTATTATCAACATAAAAAGAGAATCCAGAAGATTCAATTTTTTCGTTGTTCAGTTAACTAGTCGAGTAATAATATGGAAACGATAAATTCAAAGTTAAACAAGTCTAATCTTTTAATCATATTTATCGAAGTGAACTCATGCCGTGCCGTGGCAGCATTTACTTTTAAAGTTTAATCAGATTTTCCTTCTTTTCTTTCCCCAATAATTTCGATTCAAACTCTTTTCTTTTCTGTTGACTGTTGAGTTCAACTTTCAGATTATTCATTTTGCGCTTCAATCTCGAGTTGAATGTTTACTCGAATGGCGTTATTAATGTTGCCAATGAAAATGTTATTCAATAGTTCAAGTCTCTTCTCATCAATTTGATATCGATTCATAGCTGAACGAATTGGCCATTTTTCTTGTTTGTTTTTACTTTCTTGGTTACCATTTAATGGCATCATTGAAAAAGATAAACTGGATTAGTTTGTCTTTCATTACTTTGTATTAATTTGATCAGGATTCAAGTGATTAATTGAAAGGAATCATTCCTCAAGTTTTCTCAGCTTATCAAGTTGACTTTGTTCACCAAACAAAGCAAACATTAAAGCGATATTAATAATGAATCATGCTCAAGCACAAAAGCTCTTTGCAAAGTGTTTCATCCATAAATATTTTCTTAATAAAATCCAAACTGTTCACTGCAACAGTTAAGATAGCTAAAGATATTGAATTCACTAATTAATGCCTGAAATTTTTCCTCTTCATTTCAGTCCATTTAAAGGTTAGAAATGCATTCTTGAATAAAGAGAAAAATTTCCAATTATTTTTCTGTTGTTCAGCAAAAAAATTTGATCTAAACATGCGATTAATTAAACTAATTATTGTCGCTCCAATTGGTTGGAACAATATTGAACTTTTTTTCCTCATTTTACATTCAATTGAAGATCAATATTAATAAACTTTACCGAAGTGAAACTTGTTCAAACAATTATCAAATGATTAATTATTAAAGGAATGAAAAATGTTGCTGTTTTTGCTTTGTTATTCAACCCAATCATGAGGTTGTCTAACTGTGTCCGAAGGTTTGAATCGTCATGAAAAGTAAGGCTCGAAATGGCCAATTCTTTATCATTTTGACACTCTTTTCATTTAATCGTGATCTGAATTGGGAAATAGATGTTGTTAAAGAGAAGTTGAATTGGAAATGCACAATGATTAAACATATGAACGCATGAAAATCAATGAGAACTTTTCAACTTTAAATCTTTCGATTGATCATTTTGATTAATTTGAACGTCTTTTCAATTATTAAATGAATTGCTTCTTAAAAGATTTAAGGATTGGTTAAGACAAATTGAACATTCATTTATTACTTTTTACTTTCATGTTTATCTTATTCAAGTATTTGAAAGGTTCATTGATTGTTTATTCATAGTTGAAATAATATTTGATTTCAGGTAAAGTCTCGTTTATGGTAAAAATGTAATTGTTAATTTATGTTCAATGAGCAAGAAAATGCAATTTTTCAATTGTTACTCTTTACGGTTAAATTGATGGGCAAAATGATAAATTTAGCAAGACAAAAGTAGAGTTTATTTTTAGTCAACTGAAATGACCATGAATAACAAATTGGTAAGAAGATGAATAGGAAAAGGTAAAAAAAGTTTCGATTTACTTCTTTACTCCAACAAACATTATTCAAAGTAAATGTCGTTGGAGAAGAGATGAGGAAATGAAACAAGAAACGGACTTGAACTTGAAATTCAATTTAAAGTACATCTAATTTCATTTACCTTTTCGGAATTGAAAGAGAAAACTGAATCTCATGTTGAATGCCATTTGAAACTATCAATAGCAAACTACTTTCTTGGAGTAAAGTTTTTCAAAGTTGATCAAATTGCTTTTTAAATGTTTTACTTTCAGTAAAAGTTTCAATTATTGTAATAGAATAAATTGCAATGAGAAAATTACATTTTTACTAATAACGAAACAGAAAAATCGAGAGAATTTATTGGAAGAAATGCTGTAAAATTTCCATCAAAGTCGGTTGATCGTCTTCGAACCCCTTCAATGAGTCAAAATCCCAGATCGAAGAATATTATTTTCTGTAAAACTCGCTTCCAAAAAAACAATTGTTGAGGTTGAAAAGTGAATGAGAATTGAAGAGAAAATTTTTGTTTCTTTTTTTCTTCGATCGACTTGAATTTTGAACATTACAAGTGTCATTGAGTTTACACGCAACCATTAGACAATTTTGGTTAACAACTTTAGTCTATTACTTGATGATCATATTGAACCATGAACAAGTGATGATCAAAGGTAAAGAAAAGAAACAAAGAAAGTAAATAGTTTAATTGAATTAACAGCAATAATGTTTTTATACTTGAAATGAACAATTAAATGAATGAATAAATGATCTGAATGAAGCTAAATAGCTCTATACAGAGCATCATTACAATCAATTGGCAATACAGCGAGTTGAGCGAAAAGCGTTTCACTCTTTTCAGTCTTCTGGTTAAACTAATTGTTTGGTTTTACACTTTTGGGAACAATTTACTTTAATTACCTTTATTGATATTATAACAAAGGTTTAATGAAAAAAAAGCAAACTTGTAAACTTGATCCATAGTTACAGGGAAGGAAAGAAAAGAACTGATCAGATGAATGAATTAACAGATTAAATCTGGTTTCCATCATCAGGTAAAGGAAGGGAAAAGCAATAAATTTAATAACTTTAATAACTTTTCGTTATTAAAGATGCTTATTATCAACTTTTCCAGTCGAGTTGAAAAATTAATCTCATAATCTTGTTCTTTCATCGAATCAAGTGAAACTTTTTGTAATTAAATTGAGCAAACTGTTTACTTGTGAATAACAAATTCAATTAGAATGCTTTTGAACAGTTCATCAACAGATAATAAAGAAAACTCGAGTTTGCAAAATCATTCAATTTCGTTGAAGAATTTAAAGTTGAACGATTCCAATGTTGACAACTTGAGATGTTTAGTGTTCAGTGTTGCTCTATCAAGACGCGTCTCTTGTCCATTTTGATCATTAATTTATCTTTCATTTTCTCGTTTCTTGCTTCCATCACAATTAACATCATCTTTAACTTTGCCACTTTAATTGGAATAGGATTTACTGAATTAACTGTCTTTGCTGGGAGTAAGGCTCGTTTAACCTGCAATGCAACCCAATGGAGTGATGATGTTTCACTCATCATTTGGTATCGCGGTATAACTGGCAAACCATTAAGTAGCCTTGATACAAGACGACCCTCACCAACATCATCAAAAGCTTCATCAATCTTGACTTCATCATCAACATCATCTTCTTCTTCCTCCTCCTCACCCTCATTATCATTATCAACCTCAGTATCCTCGACGTCACCCAATTCTGATGGACACTCTCCTGATCCAACCAAATATTATTTTGATGCCACATCAGATCCATCAGTTTTCATCATTGATCATCTAACTGAATCAGATTCAGGAGATTATCGATGTCGAATAGATTATCGTCTCTCGCGGACACGAAACTACGTGGTAAGACTCAACGTAATAGGTAAGTGAACCTCATCTCACCTCACAACCTTAAACATTTTGAAACAAAGTCAAGTGCAACTCGAAAAAACACCAAAAAATGGAAAAATTTCCAATTTACTTTTTCTTTCAAATAAACTCGTAAAAAATCGTCTCGATCCACTTGATAATTGGCAGGACAAATCATCTTTAATTAACATCTTTCATGTAACAATATAAAAGGTTCAATTAACTGGTAGATTGATCCGATCATTTCTCGATTTATTAATGAATAACATATTATCAGGAAAACGAGTTGATCAAATCTTTTCATTGGAAGAGCCAAATTCTTGAGTCAACTTTTTCTCGCTTTACTTCGTAATTTTTGTCTCTTTATTTTTGTTTGAAGAGCGAGTAAATCTGAATGGAATAGTCTTGGGAAGGGAGAAAAGGTCCAAACATATAATTGAGAATAACCATGGAACCATGGATCCTACTGAATTTTGTTTTCTTCAGAAACATTTATCTATTTGTTTTTGTTTTTCCATTTTTTCTTCTTCTTCTCCTTCATATCAAATACAAAACCATTTCTTAATTTCCTGTGATCCTTTCATCATTTTCCTGGTTACATCTCTTCTCACTTTCATCACTTTTGCTCATCCTTGTTTCATCCTTCTTCATTGCCTTTGCCATGAAAAACATTCACAACTTTATTCCTGTCAAATAAAAGGGAAAAACAAAATTCACCATTTCATCTCATCAAACCATCAAATAACAATGATATGAATTGTAGGGAAACATTTATTGAAACTTTTATTTCGTTTGCTTCTTCATCTCAACTTGTTTTCAATTCCCTTTGGTCATGTCATTGAATATTCAATTTTACCATGAACCATTCATTTGCAATGAACAGTGTCCAGTTTAACACGCTTTTGTTCATCATCTAATTGCTTAGAGAAAAGAAGAACAAGAAAAGATGAAAATGAAAAAAGCATTTGAATTTGATGGGAAAACACGAATTGAACACTTTTCCTGTTTTCTTTACCTTTTCAGGTTCTTCTTTCCTCACATTTCGCATTACATTCAATAAAAGTTATCTGTTAGTTTGTAATCTTCTCATGTTTCTCTAATCAAAATGGAACTTTAATCGGCAGAAAAATTGGAAAAAATTTCAAGTTCGTAATTACATTTTTACCTTTTATTCATAACGAATGTTGAAAATGTTTGACAAACTCAGCTTCAACTTTCATCTTGAATCTTGAAATCAATTGAGATTCACTTTTCAAAGTTTCGCTCAAGGTAAACATTGAACCTTCAATGTCAAAGTCAACCTCAACGATGTTTACAATTCATTTAACCTTACAAACAAGAGATGATTAAGTTTATTACCAAACATGAAATAAAACATTCAAAGGCATTGAACGAAAGGTAAAACGATGAAAATGTCAAAGGCAAGTCCTTTGGGCTAAATAATTAGTTGAAAATGCAAACTTCATCTTTACGATTGGCATAACATTGTCAAAATTAATATCATCATTTGCTCTTCAACAGAGAATCATAATGAACAAAAATGTCTACTCATTTCGTTAACAAAAAAACCTTAACACAGTGAATCTTAACCCATTTTCTGGTCCCATTGTTGCTCAGGTTTTACTTCTGTTTTTATTCCCATTTTTCCCTTCAACATCTTATTCATTTTGAACATCACAAAACCTCTCGAGTTATTTATTTATACCAAACTATCTTGGGTTAGACTATTTTGCTTTTCGTTTTTTTTTCTTGTTTCAACCTTTTTCTCTGTTCATTGAGAGCAAGTGAAACTTGCATAGTTACATGAATCTTGTTGAGCCTTTCATAATTGAGGTAAACAAGCTTTTGAAAAATTGATTTGCTTTCTCACTGGCTTTAACCCAATCACAGTATTATGAGTACGTAAAAAGCAGTTTACAGACAACGACGGAAGAAGAAGGAAGAAGAATAAAAAATGTTGCTAAAGCTTGCGAGATGTAAGATGATGCAGAAGAAAGAAAATGAGATTAAATTGTGTTCCATAGTAATCAGGGATTATTCCTGATAAAATGGTAAACAATTTGTTGATTGCAAGGTAAATAGTAAAATGAGAAACTTGGGAAAGCCAAAGAGTTTAACCTTTTTCTTGTTTCGATTCCCATTTTTTACTCCAACGCACTTGAACACTTTTTACTATTTATTAATATTAATTACTTTTGAACGAGCAAATATTGAAAAGGTCCACTTGACATGGTTTGATATAAGTAAACACTTTAGGTGTCACTGGGTTGAAGCAGTTCTCTGGGTTAATCATAGTCTAATAATGAGAATATGATTCGCAATTAAAAGACTTTGTCACGAAAATGATGGTAAAGACAAATGTTATTGACTGGGCAAAGTGTTAGAAAAGTAATGAGAAAAGATAATCTGTCATGATTCCACCCAATGTTGGAGCAACGCCCGAAGAGACTTGAATGACATTTTGGAACAGAAAAAAAGTTTTGAGAAAAATTTAAATTTGAATCTTTTTTCTGATGGAAAATGAATTTATTTTCACTCGAGAAAAAGTAAAATGTTTTTTTGCTCTTCAAAGTGATTCGAGTTATTGAAGAGTGAAAAAAGGACAGGAAAGGGAATGATTTGTTGTTGTGTTAGTAAATCAAAAGTAATCAATGATTAATGTCTCTAGTCTTATTGGAATCAATAAATTGAACAGTTTAAAAGTTGAGACGATCGATCAAAATGAAAATCGAAATGTTGATCAATTTTTTCTCCTTTTCTCTCTTCTTTCATTCGACCATTTTGTGCAAAGTGAAAATGAAAATACGTAAAGTTTTCAAATGTTTTTTTTTCCAAAGCAAGTTAACCTTGAATTGGTCAAGGCACATGAAAAATGTTTAATGGTCATTTGGACAAGTTGTTGATAGTGTTGAACCCTTTTTTGTACACTCTGTAATACAAGTGATTGATTCAATTTTGGGAAACATAAAGTTCAATTTATTGATACAATCATTTGTCCACTTATCAACTGGCCGACATCAGTCTTTGCATTGACTGTTCAAGGGCTGAGTAAGAGCTTCATGCATTAGTGTTGAGTGAAAAACGTTTTTTTTCTGCTTCAACTTTTCTTTCAGCATTCGTAAATGACTGGCGAATATTGTAGTATTTAGAAATTTTTTTTCTGTTGAAGGAAATTTTTGTAAATTCTTATCATGATTCAAACATTGAATCAATCGAATTAAACCATTTCAGTTTGACTTAATCTTTAGTTTGCTCTCATTTCGTTGTACCAATCGTTACTTGAAATGTTAAAATTTATCAACTTGTAAGCTTCGTGAGCTATAAGTATAGCTCAATGAAAAATGTTTTTTTCCTTTTTTTGTATTCGTTATATTCTCATGAGAATCAATGGAAAGTTAACAATTGAACATATTAAGACTGGGAATGTTTACTCGTTTACAAGAGCAATTTAATTTACAGTTTTATGCTTTTAACCTTTACTTGTGAATGCTTAAAGTTTGAGTCCAATGAGGATAAGGAATAGGGAGAATCGCCTGATAAGCAAGCCCAGAGTCTAAGTCCATCCAGACCACAACAATGTTCAGCACCCTAATTCACAAGTACAAAAGTGTAGTTCAAGTTGCCTTACCCTGAGAATCTTTGATTATCAAAAGGTTTGGAAAGCTCCCAGCTAACGTGTTTTTGTTGTAATGTGTGGTTTGATTTCTTGCTTTTAATGTTGATATGGTAAAGCTCGAATAGATCTAGGACCTGTTTGGGCCATGATGTGTATCCTAATTACTGGAGTACCTGAATAATGATAATAAAAAGACAAAGTTTAAAAAACAAAATGGAATGGAAAAAATTTACTTCTTTTTAGTATAAATAAGAACAGATCGTCTAAAATTTAATTTGGGTTCCTCACAAAACTGGTTAACCAGTAACAAGGTGAATTTGAATTGAATTGATAGATTTGAATGTTGCAAAAAAGTCTTCAACACCGGGGGTTCCCAAGTGGTCTCCCTCCCAAGTACTAACCCGGCCCAAAGCTGCTTAACTTCGGAGATCGGACGGGATCCGGTGTTTTCAGCCTGGTGTGGTCGAAGACGATGAAAATGTGCATAAAATTGTATTTATTTTGCATCTGCAACTTAAATCTTAATTTTTATTTTAAATAAGCATTTTTTAGCTGAGCTTATTTGTCTTTTCACTCTAAAGACAATAAGTTACAGCAGTACAGGATCTAAACCCAATAGTTTCATACTAAAACCGCTATCAATATGGACTGCAGAAATCAGCTGTTCTGTGACCGATCCAACAAGTAAAGTGGTTTGTAGTTTAGCAAACTTCTTTATCTTATTGATTAACATCAGTTTAAAAGAATATGAGACTCAGTGGAATCAGAAACATTAGATTTCAGGATTCAGAATATGATTTTTCCATCAATTTTATAATTCTCATAGAACCAAGAGATTGCTGGATTTAAAAAGTTTATATTGTAAGCCATCCATGTTTTCGCTTCACCCTTCATAGAAATTATTCACATAATACTTCAGAGTATATTAAACCGATACATGTAAAATGAAGATCATCGATGGTTCTTCTCTGAATCAGAAATAATCATCTTTGAAATTCTTCGAGTGACAGAATTAGCAGAGACAAGAGACAAGAGCTTTCAGCATTTCTGAAAGTTATAAAAGTTTATAGCTATAAGATTATAAAAGGTTTGTAATTTAGTTTTCCAGTTACAATTGTCTTTTGGTAACAAACATGGAATTCAATTGGAATAATCTAAATAAGCATTTAGGAGGGCGAATTAATTCATTCCGTCTTCTCGAGTAACAATTTATTGCAGTTTCTCATAGATAGAAAGCAACTATCGGTGCGTTTGGAAATAAATCTAAAAGAAAATGAAATTTTTTCACTTCGTCAGTTTTACAAACATTTCGAGTTACTTGAAACATCGAAACTGGAAATTGAATAAAAAAAGAGGCACATGATTTCAATATGTTTTAAATGCTTGCACTTGATTAA